ACCCTCACACAAACGGATACAAGATGATTATTGATAGCATCCCGATCACACTTAACTCGCACGCATAATCTGAAAAATATTATTATTAAACGGTTAATATCTTACATTTAAACATCTTACATTTACTTATACATTACATACAAAGATGATATTTATATGTATATAAACAGTACCTATCTAAGTGAGCTAATGTCGACAGCAATCCCTGACGACATCTGATTAAATATGCGATATAAGGAGATCGCTTTTGATAATCCTCTCGTAGTGATTTGAAGAGCTTTCTACATCCATCGTCATTAAATAGACGCACGCAACGTAAAGTTTCATGAAGATGAGCTAGTTAGACTTAGCTAACTAAGACTTATCTCAGCTTCAGTTTTGCCGTTTGCTATGACAGAACCCTCCTGCTGATGTTCCCCATCAAGCCTCACGTTCTCTTCCTCCGCCTGAGTCTCCATTCGCGCGAAGATCACGTTGATCATCTGCGTGAGAGTCGCACAGGCTGTTGTTTGATTCACCAGGTTGCGCGACAACAAGTAAATGTTGTAAATAGTACGAATTGTTAACAGTACCGTACCCTCGTATACCTCCACATGCTGGCTTGTCATTACAGTCAACAGAGCTTTAATAATCTGCAGCTGCACACTCTCATCAGTCTGTGGACCGGTGAAGCAACCGCAAATTGTCTCGACAATGCGCACAATCAGCAGCTTGTTAGGCTTCGTTGAATCAGGCACATTGCTAGTGAGATGACTATATGCGATTAACTTCTGCAGGCAGTCTAGTGTTGTGTCACCACAATCCGTAGTGATTAGCTCTGACATGCTGACTCAAATGGCAAGAAGTACTTAGCGGTAATGACATTTGAGTCGCTCTTAATTGGGTTTGAGATAACCTCTTCACCCTGCACAGCTGGTGTACATCTTTGATCTAGTTACGGAGGTCCTCTGCAAGATGGAAATATGAGTGACAAACTTAATTAGTAACTATCGCTTATAACTACAGGCTTATTAGCCTGTATATTTATTTATTTCAGTATAAAATAATTTTTAAAACGTTCATATTAATTCTGATTGCAGACGGACCTTCGGGAACACTAGCGCCTTCTTCTTTTAACATGAATAACTAAAAATCTATATTTCGGCTAATTACCGAGTTTATAAATATTTCATTAAAATTATCTGGGTGACTCACAAACCTTTTTAATCACACTTCATAACTCTTCATACAAAATACAAACAATTCCGTATAAAAACTTTTATTAATTTATCTATTTCGGCTAAATGTATGGTGTAAAAATAATTAATTAATTACAATTAAACGAATGACTCACAAACCTTTTCAATTGCACTTCAAAAGTCTTCATACGAAATACAAACGATTTCATATGGTATTCTGTCTTTATTATTTTATTCATTACCATTTCCAGTCTTGCAATTACTGATTTTACTGGCAAATATCAGCGAATTTAATGTCTCGTTATAACATTCGTCTAATGGAGATACATTTAATAACATCAAAGTTTTTGAATTGCCTCCTAGAGAAGGCATAAGCAGGTGGGTCAATTTAGATTTTTTATAAGGTATATGTTCCTGTTTTTTCAATAGTGCTAAAATTACCTTGCCAAGATTGGCTAAAGATTTGTTAATATTCTTTGTTTTTGCAGTTCTAACAGCTTCTTCAGTTTTCAGATGTTCAGACCCGGCTAAGTCGACTAAATTCAGATTTCCTATTGACTCCTCTTGTTTCGTAACATGTGTACCAATCAAGCGTATTCTTACTACTGAATGAGATTTGGATGATCTGAAATGCAAATTATTTATTATAAATTAAATTCTATGTTAAACTATATCTTAATAAATATTTAATCATATAATAAACATTTTCTCGATAACTATGTTATTTATTTAATTGAAAAGATAAAAAAAGATAAATAAGATAAATATCCCGATAACAGAGTGACCAAGATTCTG